CCCCAAAACCCCAAAACCCCAAAACCCCTCGATGAATAATATTTAGAAATCACAGAGACACAATTATAAGTTAATAAAACATATTAGAGAGATTATAATTCTAAAATGAGTATTAATTTCTAAGTTTCCAAGAACTCATATGATCAGAATGACTAACGGAGAAATTAACCGACCACTCCTGGCAACTTCAACTAAACTGCTTCTGGAGGTATAAGATAATCTATTGTGGGTTTCTTTACAGGCAAAACTGCTGCTCCAAGTTTAAACAGAACAATAGAAGTAAGATTTAAATTGTAAAAGTAAAAATTGACTGATAGATCAAGGAGAGAGATCTAAACGACAATGACAACTCGCAAATTGAAGACTCCATGCTTGATTAATCTAAAGATCTTAGTGAAAATGGATCGGTGATCCATAAAGATAAATCGAAGACCCTAGTCTAGCAAGATCAGCGCAAGAAAAAGATGTGGGCACAGAGAGTATCCAAAATAGTCACTGAACCAGCACCCGTCTTGCAATAACAAACATAATCAAATGATTAAGGTGCTTAGCCCAAGAAAAAGGTTAGAGCTAGAGCCAGAATTAAATCTAAAAACAACTCAATTTTAGACGACTCAGTGGATTAATTCCTCAAAGATGAATAGATGGTGCATTAAAGTCTGGGAACAGGCGAGTCTAATTAGTCTGTTGATTTTTAATTAAATGGACTCTAAAGTATCTAGGAAGAATAAAAAGAAATAGAAGATGATCCATTTGCAAATAACAAAGCTCGAAGGTCAAACACTGTAATTGAAAACAAATCTAGCAAAGGTCAAAGTAATGTAATCAAGATTTATAATGATGCAAGCGGGAAAGTGAGTGAGAGCCATACAATTTCAAAAGAAAACAGCATAATTATTGTGAATAACATTAATGTGACAAATACTAATGTTAACAACAACATTATAAATAAAAATGAAATAGTCCAGCATATGGACTCTCAAAGAAGGCGCATAACTATCTTAAAGAATAAGGAACCGAATAGTAGAAATTAAAACAATAATTAATTCAAGACATAAGGCGCAGATTAATTTAGAGAAATTGATTTGATAAGTTAAGATGATATTGTCTCACATCAGTAGACTCCAACTAATAAGGATAGAAATAGAGTAAGGTTTAATAGCAAGGTAGATGAAACTATTATAACAAATAATGAATATGAGTTGGAATTTGATGATCCTGATCAGAGTTTGATCTCCAGAGATAATTAAGAGCATGGAGGTCCATCTTCTGACAAAAAAGACAGGAAAAACAAAAGAGTAAAAGTTAATGTGAATAAGAGAATGTCGATCAGAAGACCACCTCCACAACTAGATTAAAATAGCATAGAATCACTGGATAAAAGTAATCCTGCTTTGATTTTAGAAGCTCAAAGGATTTAATAGTAATAGTTTTAAGGAAGATAGGACGAATCAATAGTACTTCAAGACACAACCTCTTTATCAAAACCATCAAGTACAGCACCCACACCTAAGAACGACCCAAAAAAGGACGAAGTATTCGACATAATGAAGGATATAGAGGAAAATATCAGAAAATAAAAAGAAGAAGAACTAAAGTAAAAGTTAGAAGAAGAATAAAAGCGAATGAAGCTTGAATACGAGGAGAAACATAAAAAGGAGCAGGAGGAAAGGTAAAAAAGAGAGGAAGAGGAAAGGTTGAAAAGATAAGTTGAAGAAAAGCTTAGAAAGGAATAGGAAGAACAGTCAAGAAAAGAGCTTGAAGATAAAATCAGGAAGGAATTAGAGGAAAAACTTAGAAAAGAGTAAGAGGAAAGATTAAAATTAGAGTAAATAGAAAAAGAAAGAATAGAAAATGAGAGAAAATAGCTAGAAGAAATTGAAAAGCAGAAAAAGGAGGCTGAAGAACTTAGATTAAAGCAAGAACAAGATAAAAAGAGGATAGAGTAGGAACGAATATAAAAAGAATTGGAGGAAAAGAAGAAAAAGCTCTTTGAGGAAAGAGAGAGATTAGAGCAAGAGAAACTTAGGCGTGAGAGAGAACAACAAGCTAAGAAAGAAGAATAAGAACGATTGTTTAGGGAGTAGTTGGAGAAAGAAGATTAGGAAAAGAAGTAAAAAATGGATCAAGATCAAAAGAAACTGCAAGAAGAAAGGGAGCAGCTCAATGCTTTTTTAAGAATGGCTGAAGAAAAGAAGATTGAAGAGGAAAACAGGAAAAAGTAGATGGAGTAGAACAGATTTGTTAAAATGCTGACCAATAAAAATAACATTAGATTTGAAGACTCGTCAGACGATGATGAGTCAATGATATCCGATATTTAGCCAAGGTCTCCTAAGAACAATATCTCTAAGAGTGATATCTCTGTGGATTAAGTGCAATAGTTATTTGAATAAGCTAAGAAAATCGATAGCCAAAAGGCAAAAGACAACAGATATACATTCGGCTAAAATGTCCAAGTGTCAGACTCATTTATTTTTTCTCCCTCAAACGAGGATGGAGATATTCAGAATATTCTTGAGGATTCCTTTTTCAAGGATCCAACTAAGAGACACATTGAAACATCTCCAATGAAATAAATATAGCATTTCTAGCAACTGTAAAAACATTCTGAAACTAGAAATGTTCAATTTTCACCTTCTGGGACACCTTCTTTTACTAAAAATAACTAATCGTTGTCTTTATCCTCATCTCATTAAGACTCTAAAAGAATGGATATTCCTGAAATTAAGATACTTGGAGGACCTAAACCTCCTTCTCCAACATTTACAAAACAATTTAGAGACAGTCCACTAAAAATTATAGATTAAAGTCCTGATAACTTTTCACCAAGCATATTTAACCCTAGTTAAATGAAAAGCAGCATTGAAAGTGGAACGATGAGTTTGAAGTCATCACCAAATCAAAAGCGGATGATGGAACAATTTAATGCCAGCAGAGATGACCTCAAAGGGACATCAATGATATTAATAGACACAGATTAGAGAAGTAATTTACAAAGTGGAAGGATGAACTATCTTCAAGATGAAGCTCCTGGGACTGAGAGAGCAAACAGAAAATCAAGTAGAAATTAATTTGCAGTCTCAAACAACAAAGCTCAATCTAACATTTATGAAAGTAAGCCTTCCAGATCACCTATTCGCAAGCCTAGAGAGTATACAACTTAAGTCAAACTTGATGATGAAAATGAGGAAGAAGAGGTGAAATAAGATAAGAAATATCAAGGCCACTTATTTGAGACAAATAAGTAGAAGATTGGACCATATCCAGGTAAAAAATTAGAATCTCAGATTTCAACTATCCCAGGTGTAAAAATAGCATTAATTTTAAATAATTTAGAGCGAGTTAAGTAAAACTGTGCAAAAGAATGGTAAATAAATTCCAAGCAAAAGTCCGCTAAGAACGATGAAAAAGATGGTATAAACTGAACAGTCAAAATCTCAAGTATTTGTTAATCTTAATGATGACAATAAGGATAGTTCCTTATCGAGGATGAATTCTAGTCCTAACTAGTAATTCAAAATTAAGAATGACTTCTTTACAACCCTGAATATACTTAAATCAGAGAGCACAAATGAACTTGTTAAAACAGAATCTACCTCTAACCTACAAAAGAAACCTATAATATAAAATAAAGAAAAGAAAATTGTTAAAGTTATCCTTGATGATGATGAAACTGTTGAAGATCAAGAGTCTTCGACTGTAAAGACATTTGCTTAGCTTCTAAAGACTCCATCAGATTCGATCTGTAACAGCTTTCATGATGATCCTAAGATTCCACCCCCAAAACTTAAGAAGGCTCAACCCACTGGTAAATCTGCAAGTAATTTGCACAAAGGACAGCAGGAGCCTAAATTTGTAAAGAGAAATTTATTTGAAAGCTAGATAAATTTAAAAGACATGGGAGATGGAGAGCTCTCCCCTATAAATCCTAGAAAATCCTATTTATTAGACAAGAATAAAAGCAAGCTAAAATAACCCACGAAAATTACAGAGACTGATCCATAGTTATACATTGATAAGATCAAGTTAGAAAATCATTAGGAAAGTATACCTCTTAAGAAACCTTAATAGTCAACAGTAATTAAATCTTAGATTAATTAATTTTTAGATTTAGAAGAGTTAAAAGGCTACAAGACCCTAGGGAATAAGAGACTAGCATAAATAAAATACCAAACTATGGTGAAGTGAATTTTCAAGAATAAATCGGCTAGATAGATATATTTTCAACACATCTACTTTATAGTTATTTTAATTGTTCAATATTTTGCATTTACTCTTAATTTAGATGTGGGGTTTTGGGGTTTTGGGGTTTTGGGGAGATCGGAAGAGCACACGTCTGA